GAGTAATTATTGAGAATCCCCTCCCTCTTATTATTTCAGGGCCTCCCATAAATTATAATAAAGTTCCCTTTCATTTTTCGGATTATCGTAAATTCCCCAATATCGTGCCTTCGCCGGGAATTATTATATTTTAATTCCCCGGCCAAGGTCACAAACTATGAAAGCCGAAATTAAATTCAATGGCGAGAATCACCAGGTTTTGCGACACAAACTCATCATACAGAAGTCGCAAAAACCTCACTAAAAAAAAAAATTCGTAACTAACAAAGTTTTAAATAAACTGAAAATAATCGAAAATTCCGAATGAGAGAGAGAGCCCAAATCACTGAATGAAGTGGCCAGAGATTCCCTGATGAAATATTTAACTATCAGTCCTACAGGACTCGGGTGTTCGTTACACCAATAAACAATTAAGAATCTCTGCCCACTATTTGACAAAATAATCTCACTATAAACAAAAGGCCACCACGCTCACCTGAATATTCCGAAGTTATTCTCACACTCTCGGAACTCCTGGATAAACATATCGATTTAATTTTGCTTTGGCGTTCTAACAATCGTAACTTGGCGTCCTCTGAGTAACAAAAATTATCAGCAGGTCCGCTCTTATTACCCACCAAACGGGAAGTACTTAGATGATTGGGGGGGATGACAACGGCATCATCCACCAATCCCAATTAAACGGCCATGCGCGACACAAACAATAATTTTTACACGCATACGCTACGAATTTTTGCGATGCTCAATCTCAATCTCTTTAATTATCATAAATGATAATATATCCTCAGCGCTACCTAATAAATATAAAATAATTTTCCGCGTTACAGACTACCTTGAGAGACTAGTAACTCTCCTCCACAATAATCATTATCCTATTTTTCATTAATTGCCAATCCGCCTCGTGTTCTGGTGATACGTCACTTCCGTGGTAATTGATAGCGGGATTGTGGCTCCATTGTCGGCCACATCGAAAATCCAGTTATCATCAGAAATTAGGAGTTCGATGACATCTCTCGGCGTCCAGTGATCCTCGTCGATGTCCTCAGAATGGAACGCGGTGGCGCATAATTTAAAAATAAAACAAAATACAATCAAACGTATGTTCTCCTCTCTTCTCAAAACTCTCGCCATTGAAGGTGACTTCCCGTCTGGTGGAAGTCTCTAAAATCGCGAAACGGTCGAGAACCAGTAACTGGTAAAATACCACGTTACAACATAAACATAAAATATCACAAGTTCAATGGAAAATTGGCGTTCCGATTTAGTGGGAGCATGAATTTAGGACTACGTTTACGTTTACCTTTCTGTTTCTGGCGGAAGGCCGGGGGGAATAAGTGCAACCCTTATTCGCCCCGGATTGCCAGGTTGCTTACGGATAGTGATTAAAATGAATTTTTAATAATTTTTGAGATTAGTAGGAAATACTAAATTTTAGACTTATGGGTAAAGAAAGAAAGATTTTTAGCATCCATGCTCCCCGGGAAAGGTGATTAATAAGGCTCCGATCGCTCGTGAAATGAAAAGAAAGACTAAGTTAGAATCATTAAGAAATAAAATAGTAAAGTGATTACCGACGGTAGTGGCCGTGCGGTTAGAGTGCTGGACTAGCATGCGAAGGATCCGGGTTCGATCCCGGGGACCGGCGGTCAAAAATATATAGCGCTCTGATCTCACGGTTTCACTGCCGAGCGGTAGTCCTGTCAAAAGGACGACTGTACCAGGGCAGGTTTTTCCCTCAAATGAGGTTTTCCCTCCCTTTCAGCAAATGCGGTACAGGGGGTTGGGGGGTGGTAAGGCAACAAATCGTAAAAACCCGAAAGGGTATACGAGTGAAAGAAAATTTTTTTTTAGTAAAGTGATTAAATTACGAATTTAAATTTGAAATTAGCGCTGGAGGCACTACGTCTCAGCGCGGAACTAACGCCACCCAATCAGAGCGCGTCTGGTTTTCGGCTGTGAGTAAAGGCCATCACACACACAATTCCGCAAGCTCGTAACACGTAAGCGTTAGCGAATAGGCCAATCAGGGATGGGTATTCCCTCCCACCATTTGCGTCCGTAAACGTAGAACGTAACGTCGAAAAGTTCCGTAAGGATGAATTTTTTACGGCATACTTTTTAAAACAACCAATCAGAGAGTTTGCCGGTTTGCTTTGAATGAGGATGCTTATAAAATTTATGTGCATTAAAAAATGGGTGATCACGATTAATATTTTAATAACAATCGCCTAGACGATAATGACACGGAGTTTTCAAATGATGAAAATTATAAAGAAAGTGACGAACTTCTTATTGATGTAGTGAGGGCATATCCACACTTACATAGTCATCAAGACAGGAATTTCAAAGATGCAATGATGAAAGAAAATTCTTGGAAAGAGATATCCATTGTAGTAAATCTTCCAGGTAAATACCAATGAGATCAAATTATCCATTTAGTGCCGTTCATTTTATATTTCTGACGTTGGACTAATTTTTTTCTAAAAGTTACTGAATGTAAAACTCGATGGACAAGACTCCGTGAAAGATTTGGAAAGGAAAAACGACAGAGGGAATCAGATTCTAGGAGTGGCGTGGAGCGAGTAGACGGAGTGTTTTCGTTTACTATGAGAGTCTGCTCTTCCTTGATGATCATATTAAGAGGAGAAAGTGAGTGTGGCTTATGATAAAAATCGTTTTGAATGGAGTTGTTCCTGACCAAATCTGATTGTATATTCTCTTTTTCAGAGTGCTCACTAATGTAGCCAAAAAACGTAACAAAACCGCCACAATTGATGAAGGAAATGGTTTTCTCGCTGCGCCACCAACATCGTTAATTCTTCAGCAAGACCTGCTGGCTGAGAATGGTTCACGAGGTTCTGTAATGGTTGAAAGTGTAGAATTTCGAAATAATTCATTAGTACCCAGCTCTGATACACAAGTATCCTTGGTGCCTACACCAATCCAATCGTGCACCAACTTTCTTGCACCATTTCGGCAGAGAATTCAGCAAGCAAATCAAAAGAGATCATCATCAAACTCAGTATTGGAGCAACAAGGCACGTCGCAAGTTGGTGGTTTAGCTAGTGGTCAACGAGATTTTCGAGGAATTCTGGATGATACTGAGGATTTCAGATGCTCAATGACTTCTGGGCGCGAGAGTACACCTTCTCCAGCTCCATCATTGTGCCAGTCAACACCACAAAGACCAAATTCTAGGAAGAAGAAAAGCGACACAATGGCATTGGGAACCACTCTGATTTCCTTATGTCAGACGGTACATCAAAGTCTCCAGAATGAGAATGCAAACCCTCAAGTCGCTGGAGACACAGGTGGAACGTTTGCAAAATTGATAGTAGATGAATTAAATAAACTTCCACCTGAAGAACAAAAGAAGAGACGGCTCGCTATGATGCAAATTTTATATGCACCATATCCTTGATCCACACATCCAACCAAAGTCTTTAACCAAAAGTTTCTAATAATTAATTTTAATCACCAACTATGAAAAGATAATTATCAGCTAATTTTTACCATTTACATATTCTCTTTGGCATGGTCAACATCCAATTATTTTTAAATATTAGATACTAATTTTTTTAAAATATTTTTTCCTATAGGTTGTCATTAACAATTTATGTTAAACAGACGATTTATCATTGTCCTTTAATTGCGAAATTTTCTCCGTAATCGTAAATGACCGAAAAATGTCTAACCATCTTTTTTTATAGTTAATGACATCCCTAACTGAGAAACTTTATTAACCTTCCATCTGGAAGTCATTTATAACCAAGTAAAATCGTTAATTAACTCAAAGTTTTATCACCCTAACATTTTACCATTTTATATTATCAAATATTATGAGTTATTATATTTTATATCGTTTTATTGTTATATAATATAACGTGAACTTGATATTCTCACTTATTTTCGTACGCCTGTTTCTCCATAGAATATGTTGGTTATTCTAAATATACATTTTATAATAAAAAAGATTTATTGAAAATATTTTAATCATTCATTGATATGACAAAAAATTACATTCTCAGATTCTCCGTAATAATATAAAATACATATATATAATTCAAAAATACTGGATACCGAATCGTCCAGGTGAATCTTTAAAGATATTTACAATTTTCTACTCAGTCAGATGGACGTCATGATCGTGAATAATCAATTATCTGGGGTATCATCAGAGTGGAATCCTCTACGTATGTATGCATGCTGCCAGGGAATTTCACCTTCAGGTGTCAAAAAGTAATTAGCTAATACGTCTCTCTGATTGTATGCATCTCTTGTAGCGCGATGAGCACTCGAAGCTGCAAGACCTTCAAAACCTTCACGAAGTTCAGTTCGGCATTCTCCAGGCACTAGTTGGCCGTTTTCCGATTCAGAATCCACAAAATCAGGTGGGCAATATGAAGGATCATGTGGTGACAATGCATCATTCGTAGTTTTTAAGAAATTATGAAGGCAAACGCACGCCATAACAATCTTATCCACAGTCGCAGGATTCATGCAAATGGGTTTTCGAAATACTCTCCACCGGGAAGCCAGCATTCCAAATGCATTTTCTATTGTTCTTCTGGCTCGAGATAATCGATAATTGAAAATTTTCTGAACATGAGTTAAATTACGATCAGCGTATGGTTTCACCAGATTTTTAGTTAATCGAAAAGCGTCATCGCCAACAAAAAAACAAGGCGTTGCAACTTCACTTCCAGGTAATTTTGCAACCCGTTCTGGTAATTCGAGGGTTTGATCTCGCAGCGCTTTCCCAAATTCCGATCGAGAAAACACTCCGGCATCATTATGGCTACCGTAGGCTCCGATATCTACGAGTGTAAACTTGTAATTATTATCACACACGGCCATCAAAACGATGCTGAAAGTCTTTTTGTAATTATAATATAAGCTGCCGGAGAGCGGTGGTGCTTGGATTTGAATGTGTTTTCCATCTACAGTCCCGATACAGTTAGGAAAATTCCAATTACTCCAAAAGCCATGACAAATATTTATCCAATCCTCGCGTTCTGGTGGTCGGAGGAAGTCAGGTGCTAATATGTCGAAAATAGCATTGCAGGTCTCTTTTATGATGTTATATACTGTTGACTGTCCCACGCGATATGCCATGGCGATTGATAATACTTGGTCTCCAGTTGCGAGGTACCTGTTAAAAAAATAATATGCAATTATTCGTTCTAAATATTTTATGTCAATATTCTTTGAAGTTTAGAAAAATACCTAAGTGTTATAGCGAGTCTCTCTTCTGGTACTAATGCTCCGTGATTTTTTTTAGATAAGGACGGTCTCATCATTTCCAATAATTGATTGAAGATTGGCACTGTCATTCTTGTGTGTCGAAAAAACATTTGTGGATCGCTTTTCAATTCCTGGAGTTAATTCTTAAAATCACCTTGCAGAGGACGCATACCATTAATTGGTCGAACCCACCATTGACGATTCGACCATCTTCGTGAATTTTTCTTCTTCAGAACAAGTAAACCCATAGCCACCAACAGAATCGCTAACAATATTTTATCATTTCTTCTCATGATATGGGATGAAGCTGCGTTTGAAGTACCTGCAATATTAGACGGTTTTTTGTGAAATATTTTTTTTACAACTTATCTGAATGCGTTTTCTCAAATCTACTTTGTTCATTTACATTATTTTAGTTTATATGAAAAATAATAGGAAGCCAGGGAGCTCACGTGGGCAACGTCATTAATTTGACATCACTATACTTCAATAACAAATCACAAACTTCATCACTCTCATTATAAATAAATACCATGTCAATAAAATTAATAAATTTAATTACTGTCAACTTCTTTTCTTCACAGATAAAAATTGTTAACAAAATCGAATTGACACTTCCAGATTCCAGGTTAACATGGACAAACCAAAACTGGGGAGGGGTTCCTCATTCAGGATTGGTTGAAGCTTAAGTTTTACGCTACGTGTGTGGAATGGACTCTACAGCTTACGGTTTACGCTTGCGTCTTACGAGCTTACGGAATTGTGTGTGTGATGGCCTTAACCCACCTGTTACACTGACCTCGCCATGTCAGTAATACGTTGACCGTGACGAGAAGTGAACACGTGTTGTGGCTAGAGATAGTGAGGATTACGTGAGATCAATTAAGAAGGATTATGGTCAGGAAGACCACTAGAAAGGGAAGGAAACCCCCAAAGGTGAGTTAGGCATTCATAATTAGTGTTTTATGAGCGATTATTCCACCTTTATCGTGGTTATTTCCACGACATGTTGTGGCCTTGTCCGAGCCGGCCGCCCGGCTTCGCTTGACTCTTCCATCCATTTTTGGATGGTTTTCGGAGGGTTTTTCCCTCCGCTGATGAATCCCCAAAATACTCGGGGCGCCCCTGGCCACGCCAGTGGGCATTTTTCTCGAAATCTACCAGAATTTTAAGTTTTAGGAGCGATTTTCAGGTGAACGAATTTTCCACGGCCAACGGTGGCGAGTGGTTTTCCCTCTCTCTCACTCTCTTCAGATCCGAGCAAAGTGGGTTCGAGTCCGAAGAGTCGACACTTTTTTTTGTTGTTTTTTTTCTTTTTTTTCTCTCGCGGGGTTAAACGTTCCGCGGAATATCGGATTTATAATCCTAAGGCAATTAAAGACTTCCCAGGAATTCTGGGAAAGCATCGATTTCCCGGCGCGCTAAAATAAGGAATAAGGTGATCCTCGGATTATCGCCGGGCGATAATCTTTGCAGGCAAATCTCAACGGTAACAAGGAGGGGCTACGCATAATTGCATTTAATAATTAATTTTTATAGCCCCATTGTTGCAATCCACCCAGAATATTAGTTGAATTAATTACATTTTTTGGAGACTTTATTTATCGTTCCTTTTTATTTCATTTACGTGGTAATTTAGCCCATGATTAGACATGCCCAAAATACCCCGCTTCCACCCAAGATCCACCCCTCTCTCCATAACCCGCACACTGAGTGAACCAGGACCGTTACCTTTCTCCGAAGCCTGATTTTCCCTTTCTGTTCCCTTTTGGAAAAATGCTTTTTTTTGAGTTTACGATGGTTAATAGAAACAATCGAAATTAGTTAAGTTAGTTTTAGTGATTTTCCGGTTTGGTAATTCCGGTTAAAAATTACCTGGCGCCCATTTGATTTAATTTTAACAGGTTTGGTTAGTTGATCAGCAGATAACGAATGAGTCATTTGTACCAAGATGTTTAGAATTCGAACAGAACAGAATGGTGGTGACCTTATATGACAATACCATTCTGTTCGATAATGCAGGATCAGAACGGAAGAGGATTTGGGAATTGTAAACATCTTGGTACAAACAACTCATTTGTTATCTACTGATAAACTTACTGGGAGAAATGTCACTTATCCGATATCAATATTTTTCATTTCCGTTCCTTTTCTGAATTACAAATAGTTTATAAACATAGGTCAAAGTGAAAAGTAGTTTTTTGGCAAGTGGCGTAATCTATACTCGTTCTACCATGACAGTTCATCCGAACAACTTTATTCGACTCTTGAGGACCACATTTGAAATTTCCAACCTTGCTGAAAGATCCGGGAGCAACGAGGAACGTGAATTGGCAGGCACGTTTGAAAGGATACTGATTCAATCAATGGAAAAATATATGGAGTAAAATTGCTGGCAGGATTATCGAAAGCATTGCAAAGATATAGAAATGAGGTATATCAACAAACATAATAAATTGAATATTTCGTGGATATCGATATGATATTATATGTGTAATATAATATAATATCGATATCCACTAAATACAGAAGAATCGCCTGGCAGTTGCTCAGAGAATGAGGACTACAGAGATTTCCAATATGAAAAGAATGCTGCTGATTTCTGGAGAAGTGGAATAAAGAAGTAGAATCTATCTAGAGAAACTTTTTCCATAGACTCAAGAAGGTGAAAATGATAGTTGCATAGATAGTTACAACGCTAAACAAAGCAAACCATCAAAAGAGGGCCATACTTGGTGAGATTGAAACGCATTGCGGCGTACATTAAGATACAATAAGGTAGTTATGGCGTGATCAGTAAGGGTAAAAAAATACCAAAATTAATGATTTCTTGAATACCTTCTTTCTTTTTTTTCGAAACTTTTCGGGAAATCCCAGGTAGCCTAGAGCAATGAGTGAAGGACAGGAATTGTTTCACAAAATGTCATTTAATGCGGGTACTTTTGAGACATTGCAGGAAATTATTTAAAGTAAAAAAAAGTCCACATCTTTCTGAAACTGCGCAGTCGGCGAACATTTTTCGAGAGGGACATTAACAAGTATAATTCAAGTAACCTAGACAAATTGTGGAGATAAAATAATGAAAACACCATTGAAAAATGGGAAGATTACGTGGGCAATCAGCTGTATCGCATTGGAATTCACACTTGCTTTGCGAAAATTTATCAGTTTATTTTAGGAATTCGACTTGCATGAATGACTCTTTTTTCCATCAGTTTGATCAGAATTCCGTTTTATACGATATTTTTTACATGAAACCAAATTCGTTAAGTTCCCGTTGTATCTTGGTGGATGTAAAAACGAGAGGAATCGGGCACATGTCAGGCAATGCTACCAACTCAGCAGTGCGAATAGTCTCCAGTTGCGATCTTGTTGCTTTTTCCACAGATATTTATTGATTTTCATTAACGTGTAAGGAATTGCACCTCCTGTCATGCCCGTCATGCCATGAATATCCAAAAAAAACGAAGAATGCCATCGTTGCAGGCTTAATTGTTCACGATACTGACCTCTGCAAGGGGGCCCTGCAAGCTCGAAATAAAATTGGCTTCAAGGATGATTTTATTTTACAGCTTCGTCCAAGTGTTTCTAGTATTATTTTAGACGACAACGCATTGCTTCTTGGAACTTCAACAAATTGATCACCAGAAAAACATTAGAGACTGCAGAAGAGTTACAAAAAGAAGCAACAAACAAATTCTTCCTGAAAGGTTGGTCGTATATTGGGGCATGAGCTCGGAAGAATTTATAGAGTACAGTATAGTGTCGTTACGAATTGGAAATTCATTCAGCGCTAACGTTAGCGACAGAAAGTACGAAATAAGTAACATGCGACATGGAATCGACAATTTTAACGACACATAGTTATACACTACAACCTTTCTTTCTGCAGCTGGAAAATTACTGTCACATATTTTCCCGGTTCGGAATGAACCTTCTAGAACTTTCGATGCAATAGTAAAATGCAACTACGAAAGTGTTCATCATTGTATCAACATCGGAAAAACTCCCAGTATGACAATATATAAGACTTAACACATATGATATGTTCTATACAATCATTAGAATTACTATCAAGTGTTTATTTTTTCAGAGCATGTCATTACCTGGTTGAACGAATTCTTCCTCCCAAACATGTGTTCGAAACGGCTATGGTTAATCGATTCTTGGAAACTGTCCTTAAGCCGTGCTAGATATTACCACTCCAAAGAAAGAATTATTAATTATGTTGATACTAAAAAGGACTACTGAAAATATTGAATCCCCTAACTTATACTTTATCTTAGGAGATGGAAGGATTGCTTTCATCATTTTTCAGATATTGTCGTCCTAATGGACAATGATATTTATATTTGCGGAGCAATATCACTAAATTTATGAACTCTTTGGTCCAGGATCAATCATGGTCACCGAGGAGTGGACATTTATTTCGTTAGGGCTGGTTTCAGAATCACACGACCTCTCTCACTCCAATAAAAAATTCAAATTCCCAAGTTCGGAAGAGCAGTGAACCTCACCTGTAAAATTACGCACTGTCAAAAACTGCTGAATTAACAGGTCGATTACGCTAAAGAACAGGAAGTGGGGAAACCATACCATAATTTTCGCCAATCACAAATCGATTCGTGTGCCCCTCACTAACTGATCCGCTCCACGAAATCAAAATTTAGAACAATCTGAAAGACGCCGCTCACGAATGAACTACGATTTTTCAGCGGAAATACTTTTGGAATCAGTTCGGCTCCTCTTAGTGTTCGAATTAACCCTTCGGAGAATTTTTAAATAGTAGGGAACATAAATTAGCAGGTGTTCGGGGATACTAATTCCTTAAACCAAGAGTAAAATAGTTTCTAGCATGTTAAGAGAATTAGTTGCGAACATTGTTAAATGGTGGTTGTGACTCAATCAAAAAACAATTAGTGAGTCTTACAAACTATCAAGACTCAAGATTAAAAACTCAAAATTCATTCCAATTAATTGCGAACGAGTCAAGGACAGGTGCTCCACCTAAACATCTGTGATAAAGTACCGATAGTCATCTGACAGAGAAACGTGGTGGAATCACCTTAACAATTCACAACTTATACTTAATATCCAGTCACAGTTGGTAATTTTTCACAACCAAAATGCCGCATAGATTCGATAATGATTGCAGGGCTCTTCTAATTTGTAATAACTGTCAATTCCAAACACTATATTAATAATCGAAT